TGGATAAGATTTGCACATTAACCACTCTGATACCCTTCTGGACTTCATGGTAGCTTTCATGATCTAAGGTATACATTCTACCTGACATTCTATATTATTTTATCTCCAAATCCTGTGGAGAATTTGGCCCTCTTAACTCCCCTATTCAACTTTTAATAGTTTCCCCCATTTCTAAATCAGCGTTTCTCAACCTTGACAACTTGCTGGCTGGGAAATTCTGGGAGTTGAAGTCCACACATCTTAAAGTTGTCAGGGTTGATAAACACTGTTCTAGATGTTTCTTCTTCAGAAATGAAATATGACTACGTGCCCTTTCCTGGCAAGCATCCACTTATATGCACATTGACTGCTCCAGCATCATGACTACTTTATGACTGGCTTAATAACAAAATTCTGGATGCTATTTAATGTTAACTCCAGCATTACAGCTCCCTTTATTGGATTCTTGACTAGCTGCTCCAAGACATAATCATTTAGGGTATCTAAAAATTAGATTTCTCAAGTCTAGAATAAGATTTTCGAGTCAAAGCGAAGGTGACTGAAGTCTCCTATTACTATTATAGTGAAACCTTGTCTTAACAGACCATTTGGGGGAGGTGTTAGCTGCAGTTAAAATATCTGCTAAATATGAAAGCACATCACCGTGGCAATTTATATCATTTGCATAAGGATGTAAGAAAATGACATAAAGTACCACAGATGCTGTTAAATTTAAAGTAAAATTAATGTAAATTTAACTGCCTCATCATTTAGATGCAACTGGCATCCGTTATTTTGAGGGTTGTCTGGATGGAAATCTGATCTACTGCATCCACCAAAGTGAAGTCTGTTAAATCAAAGTTTCTTTTTCATATGCCTCTCTAATTTCATTTTTCATCTACAGATCAGCTTCAGCTTCTTGGTTCGGGGGTGGGTGACAGCACACTCCTATTAACAATTTGGTTTTGCAAACTGATATGGAATCCACTGTTGTTCACTAGAAAAGTCTGCCTCATTTGTGTCTTCTACTTTATGGAACTCCAGGACTTCTTTGACATACAAGGCAGCTCCATTCCCACTATACCCTTCCTGAATATATATCCAGAGATAACTGTACCCTATTGTACATCTGTCTTTTCTGTGTAATGTCAAACACGCAGTGCTTTCTTTTGGCTTAGAGATTTTTGGCATATGCATATAAGCACCTATGCAGATTCACCCTTGAATTTTCTGTCATGCACCCTTACCCTTTTGACTTTGATTTATTATATTTATTTCCTAGGTCTTCCCCCTGAATGGTTACAGAGGTTTTTACCCAGGGGTGATTTTTCCCAAACCAAAAGTTCTTCCCTTCCTGTCAGGTTCCCATCTCCCCAGAATCAGTCTATAGAAACAATGTATTAATACCAAGACCAGTCTAATGTATTAAATTTGCTACATTTTCATTTTTAACCAAATTAGTCATTTAGATTACAACAGATTGCTTGTCAGGTACAAGTCAAAGATGTTAATCACTAGACTGTTGTGTCATCATATTCTAGAAGGGGTCAGTTACATGCAAGAAAAACAGCTTGCTGAATCCTCAGTGAAATCATAGGACAAACTCCAATGTTCTTGTTAGTAATTTAAGCAAGTGCTAGATAAGGAAGCAAACTGAACTAGGCTTTGGGTGGCTGGAATTTAGATCCTGATTTAGCCATACTACTCATTGGTTGACCATGGTGCTAAACTAATTTACAGAACTATCATGAAAATCAAATGGGAAAGAATGGCAACCATGAATGCTACTCTAACATGCTTAGAAAAAAAACAGATTTACATAATCTAATATAAATATAAAATACATATTTTAAATATATGTTCAACATTTGTGTCCGCTGACCTCACTTTTTAAAAACATATTTTTAACCATGTATGACCTCCACTTAATAATAACTGAAGAAAAACAAGATTTAAAATTTCAAGCTGTATGGTTTTGTTTTCATTCAAGAAATGCTTCTTATGAATTACTACAAAAATATTGTATACAATTAAAGCCATTAATTTTTTTTATATAAATCAGATGCTCCTTACATCAGTAAGACCTTGAAAGATTGCATTCTAGAAGAGCCATTATTGTAACATCACTGCTATTGATCAACAGAGGACATACTTTTGGACAAATCTCAAGACAAGTTGTTCTGTTATTTTACCTGGGACAATTTCATTTTGTTTATCAAATAATCTAACCCTTCTTATTAATGTTATGTAGGACAAATCTATAAATATATAATACCATAGCTTAAATTATAAAAAGCACAATAAAAATCTTACCAACTGTATTTTTTTCCTCTAAGGCTTGACTGCAGGATTTTGAAACAGAATTTTGAGCTGGGTTAAATAATTTTCAAGTAATGAAATAGTTGAAAAGGCTGATCATCAGTGGGAACTAGTCTGGCAACTTCATTTATGCAAAAATATGAAATGAACCTCTCCCACAGTTCCCCACATACAATTAAATAGTTATGAGTATGATGACTTACTTTAAATTTTGTAAGACTCTCATCACCATTCCTTCAAGTTCTTCACCACATGATGAGTGGTGAGCATCTAATAGTGATATTATTTCTGTTTCCACAATAATGCAATGAATACTATTCTAAATTCCAGATTATCTATTTTCATATTTTGACCCAATCTGAGAAATTATCAGAAGATCTTGAAACCCAGGATGAAGTGAATAATTCCTAGGGATGTACAGGATTTTGGACTCAAATATACATTAAAAAAAAGTGTTATGAAGCACATGGGACAGGGATAGAGTTACGGCCTTTCCTAGGATCACATGGCTGCCCTCCACAGCTGCATCAGGAAGACACATTTGGTTTGGTAGCAGGTGTTCCTGTGTACTCCAAAACACCTTTTCCCTCTGAATCTAAAATCCTGCATAGTCCTCTTAATTCCTTTCCTCCTCTTAGCTTGTGGAGCTTATAAAAAAGTAGGATCCTTAATATTTCTTCTGGGCTTCCAATGCTTCAGAAGTTTTTGCACTTCCTGAAAATTATCGAATATAACATAATGCAGGAATATCCAAATTTATACAGCAAGAGGCAACATCTAATGGTGGTATACTATGGCCAAATAAAAATTTGGGTATCCTACCGAGCATCTGCATTTTTGGTTTGATTTTTTATATTTCATATAAACATTTTAATGAACAGGCTATGGTTTGTATCTTTGGATTTTTGTTCTTACCATCTTTACTTAATTTGGCAAATCTCTGAACCTATATATGTACACAACCTACTTCCAAGCCTATGTCACATCTTTTATGAAATGGTTGTTGCATTACATTCACTAACAGACAATTTCACATGAAAAATCCCTGTTTACCAGACTAACATAATTACTATTTAAGGTGACTTTTTCCAAGCCTGTTTTTATAATATTTCATCAATATTTTCAGAATGAAAAGAGAGAAATCCTTTATTTTAGTGTTAATAACTCAGTAAGACAAAAACATTCATTCATCACCTTCATATTTACTGTAATTAATTCATAATGTATGTGCCCTCTAATTCCAGGGCATAGCCATAAGGGAGTAGGAGTACTACTTAAAATATTTTCTAGAATCTTCCAAAAAGAGAGCCTTCTGTAGCATTTAGATTTTCTTTAGGACTTCCAGGAACCCAACACTAGGAAATAACCTCAAGGCCAAAGTCAACTCAAAATAAGCTATCTTTATCTGAGCCCACTCTTGTTCTAAACCATTTTCACCCATCTTTCAAAATATCTTCCATCGTACAGGGATAATTCTTGAAGTACGTATCATAAACATCACATGAAGTGAATTGCTGTAAAATCCAACAAGGTAGAGGCACTGCCCCACAAATGCCACCCATAATTTGTCTCTTAAGTTAACCCCATCCATGTCTTCCCCTGATTCTAGACTAAAGAATGAAAACTGGCAATATATCTTTGCCTATACAGGAATAAAACTGCTTTTTCAAAAGTACCTATAAAAATCAAATCAGAGGACCAAAAATTCCTAAAAACTCAACACTTTCCCTCTCTCTCTCTCTCTCTATAGGCTTTTGGAGGATATTCTTGGCACACATATATACATATGCCAAAAGTATCCTCCAAAAGCCTATGGGGATAGATCATCTCCATAGGCTTTTGGAGAATACCCTCGGCTCAGTGATGCAGCCTCAAATAATGAACCCTTCCCCTGCCCTCCCCGCCATACTTCACCTCCACATGCAGATTACCTACACAAGGTGGAGGTCCCATTTTGAAAACCACCCCTCCCCTCCTCAAACGTTTTATTTTAATGCTGCAGCAAGAGATAATTACCGGCCTCACCTTCAGGTAGCTACACACTAAACTCCAAGAGACGGAGGTTTATCTTATTGAGGTTAGCTGTAACCTCCCTTTTAGGCAAATTGAACTCAGGTTGACAGGCAGCACCAGCCCTTCTCTCTGGCGCCTGCAGACACACAGAAGCCCTCTGATCAGGCTCAGGATAGGAGGGCAACTAAAGGGAGAGGGACCTGCTCCCGAATCACCACAGAGACACAACGTTCAATCCCAGCCTCTATTTCAGTCAGCGAGATAAGGCCTGCGACAAAACAGACCTCGAAGCATGGCAGGGGACTCAAACGCGAACGCCAAAGGGAAGTCTGTCTCCTCCATCCTGCAACGTAAAAGGGTGAGGCACGGTTTCTGCCCCCCCGCCCCCTTCCCAAACAATCCTTGGCCCGACGAGGGGTGCATGAAGCGCTTCTCCACCCTCTGTCAAGCGCAGCGTTGCCCATCCTTCCAAGGAAGGGCCAGGGCGGCGAGAATCACCCACCGAGGGACCGCCGCGCAAAGACGGCGACGCAGCGCCTTCGGGTCTTTTACCGGGGAAGGGTCTCCTGGCCGCTTCTTTCCTCCCGCCCTCACCGCGAAAAGCCCCATAGCCCAGCCCCTCGCAAGGCACGCCCTCCTCTTCACGCCAGCCAGCCAGCCGGCCGGCCCAGCTGAATCCAGCCACTCACCGGGTAGGGGTTCCTCCCGCCCGCCGGTCCCTCCTCCCTTCCCTCTACACAGGCCGGGGCTGCAGGGCAAAGCCCAAGATCCCCTAAGCAGGGGATGATGCTAAGTAGCAGCTCCGTGCCTTCGGAGGGGGGGGAGTGGGGAATGGGCAGCAAGGGCGGCAGCGGCGGCTCTGGCAGGCACAGCGGCGGCCCAAACCGGGCAGACCACCATCCCCACCTTCGCTCGGTGATAACAATAGGGCTGCCGGCGCAGCGTCGCCTTTTATAGGGAGCCGCGCCACGTGACGCGCTCCAGCCCTCCCGCCCCCGTGCGCGCGCGCTGCGGTTGCGTGGCAGCATGGGAAACGTAGTCACCCTCAGAAGGGCGGTCCTTGCGCAATAGAACGTTGGGGGGGGCGAGAGTTGGTCCAGGTAACGGCGGCATCTGAGGTGAGGATGAAAAGAACCACGTAGCGCTTTGAACGCTGGGAAATGAAACCCATCCGCTTCTTCCAGCTCTCCCTAAAATTAGGTCCCAGAATGCAAACTGGCTGTTCGTAGTTTTCGCTAAAAGTGCTGCTTGGAAAAAAAATAAAAACACTGAACTAGCCTAGTGATAAACGATCCAGAGGGTTCCCAGCCTGTAACTTCAAATTGCCATCTTATTCTGAGTGAGTCTAATTTTAAGAACAAGATAATCTTATGTTCTACATGGTGGAGGGGCGCTTTTTCAGAACTGCTTGAATTTAGGATGTGTTTGTGGGTGGGGAGGGCTCTATTTTATCATGCTCTGCAGTCATGACACATCTTCAGAGCTTGTAGGCCAGAGTTTCTCTTGACCAACAAAAAAACAAGATAAAAATGTGGATGTAGGATAGGATTGAGAATCTTAAGTTATTACTTAATTTACCAAGTAAACAACTGCATTTCAGGATTTAAAAGGTCCACTGTGTTCAAAGGGTGTTATGCTAATTATTTATGGCTGTAATTGTAGTCTCAATTTAAAACCAAGTTTAGTTCACTTGATTTTGATTTTGAATTAATATAGATTCAGTCACTATGCTGCAACCAATTAGAAGGGTCAGAAGAAAGGATCAGATGAGAATCTGAGCGGAAAAGGGAGACACCATATGCATTAAGATGACAAAAAATCTGTGTGTGAGAGAGAGAGATCAATTCTGTTATAAGACTAGAGAAGATAACATACAGTTTAATATTTGCCTCAGTGTACTCAGGCACACTGATCATACTGTTTAAAAAAATAAATTCAAAATTGCCAATTGGACCATTATGAAAACAAATCAGAAACTATAAAAACTGTAATGGTCCTTTAAAAATATGCAAGTTTCTAGACCTTCAGAATGTTAATCAAATTAAATAGTCCCAAAAACAGGAGGCTGTACTGAACCATGAAATCTGTGGTTTAGAGTAATTGTTAAGCCATAAATTGCAGCAACAAGAACATGAAACTTTTGAGTATAGTGATGACAAAATAACAATCCTTCAAATAGAGGTTGGATTTACACATTACACTAAATCATGTTTTATCAAGCCATATTGGCCTGGTTACACAGAATACTAACCCATAAATCATAGATGGATTTATTGTAAGAAGCCAAGATCAAGAACTGCATTATCATTACGGCTTAGCACAATATGTGAATCCAGTTACTGACACTCAAGTCCCAATACATTTCAAAAGAACTTATTCCTGAAATACAGCCCTCTTGTTGAAATTATAGGTATGGATCCAATCAAGCTCTAAGTGAAAGTATGTCATATATTTACTGCCTTGGATTCCAGGATAGAAGAAAAATGAGGAATAAATTCATTTAATATTCCTACATAGTTCCATTTTAAAGTTTTGATTAGTCTCTACACTCCCTTCAAGATTAGACTTAACATTCAGTTTAAGAAAAACACTGCATTTTCATTGTATGCCTGAGCAATCAGTGCCCAGATCTTAAACAGTGCAACACTTTTGCTCACCACTGGATGGAGTGGCAAGAAAGGAAAATACATTTGGGGAAATGTGCCTGTTGGCACAATGAACAAGTGCAAAATTCAGCCCTACCTAATAGAGCAGATAGTTGAAGGAGAGAGAGCCAATTTCCATATGGAAGGAAAGATGTGTTTAGGACTTAACAATCTGAGTCACAAATTGATTTTACTTTGCAACCAACCATTTTGGACATCATCAGAGTGTAAGATAAAATTAAAGCCATCTAGCAGTATGTGCACATGCACTTAGAACTGACATAGAATCCAAAGATCATATTCATGATATGTTAATAATGGGTTAGTATTAAATGGCTTAGACTAGATGACAAGCCACTATCAGTTTCCTTTTCTTGTTTTTAAGATCCTTTTATATTCTTTGAAAATTACAAAAGGAATGAAACCAGAGCATAAAAATAAACTGAACAAATAGGAAAACTCAGATCTAATTATCATAAACACTATTATGGAGGAATGTAAGTGTTCCCAGTATGTAAGGTGTCTGTTAAATAGTTTTTAAAAAGGTGAACCAAAGCAAACCCCTCACAGTAGGATTTGGTTCATATCACTATTTTTTGTTGTCAGCATAATTTTTGTAGCCTCTGCTATGTAAATTTAATTGATTTGGCCCAGAAGTTGAGATATGGATAAATTAAGAATCTCTCTAGGCAAAAAAATAGTCAGAAATTGACTTTCAGGAGAGTGTCAGAAAGCCTAGAAGCAGTAATATGCATTTCAGTATTAGAATTATGAAGAGGTTATAGCTGGGATGCTTAATGTTTAAACAAGGTCACATTTCAGCTACGAGCTAGAGTCAAACTCTAGGCAGTGCCATTAATAGTTCTCAGTTACCATTTACTGTATACCATCCTCCCCCTAGCTATGCTTTCCAAAGATGCCAGAATATAACTCATACAAACCAGCGTGGCTAAATGGCTATGGGAAAGGCCAGTTTATATTGTTTAACTAGTTACCTGCTATCACTGTGATGGACATTCACATCTGATATGAACCCCTGTATTTTTAACTGAGACCTATGTCTATTAAGCAAACCAGTACTCTTTGTCAGTAATCCTAGTAGATGTTTTACAATAGAGGAAAAATGGTAATATCTTTTCTGCTATTTAGCAAGAGCACACAATTTCAGGACTGCAACAGCACTATAAATTAATGCAGATGTGGCTCAACTGTCCCTGGCTGCAACCTCCAGATATTGTTAGGATTTTAACATGTACAGATACTAACTCTCTTCAGCCTCCTTCTACTATTGCTCAGTCACAGAACACAAACATAGCATGGACTTTTTTCTATCTGAATCTCTTACTAATGAAGCTGATTATGCACACATTGTCTCCTTGGTAGGCAGATCTCCTGCTGGTCTCATCTATACTCTTAATTCAGAATGTTTCCACAGTGGCATTCTGAGCCACAGTAATTTACTACAATTAAATGCCTGTACTTCCACAAATGCTGCAGGGGTTACTTCCCTGTTAGAGGTTACTACTGCTGGCCCTTATATTTCTTGCTTTCAATTTTGCAACAGCTGATCTATACTTGTACCTTACATTCTCTCCTGCACAGAATGCCTTCCCCAATGTTAAGAATATTTTTCAAAAATGATCATGAAAAGTAGGTTTCTGCTAAAATTGCTAGAATTGTAAATGCATAATAGCTTTTTACAAAAATCTATAGCGATTCTCATTCTTCACTGTAGATCTACTCTACTACGTTTTCTACTCACCATTTCCAGCTACAAAGTATTTTCCCTATGAGTAAATAAAAATAAAAAAATCTCTATTTTGCATTGCTAAAACCATTATGCAACCAAAATGAAGCATCCAGTTATATGAAAAGATATTTAAAAATCAATTGAACATGGAATACAGAATGTTTATCACAAAATTCAACTGCTACTTGTTTGCTCTGCTTATCCTTTCTTGTTTTCCTTTTCATTTCTATTCTCAGTGGATTTCCACTTGTTCCAATAGTTTAGGTAAACCTTCATTCTGTTTCTAACATTACACACACACAAGCTTTATCCTTCAGAAAACATAGTAGTTGAAATACTTGGGAGTTACCTTTCCTCTAATTTCTGAACAGCTTAATTAGGCTTGTAGCAAAGGCAGTATTAAAGAAATCCAAGAGTACACTGGGGATAAAAGTGAAATGAACCAGTAAAAAGCTAAATATTAGGGCTGTGCAGTGCTTCAGATTTGATTCCAAAGAGTACTTTGGAGTGTGAATGTAGTGCCTGTTAAAGTCAAAGGCACTTAATCTTGGATTGTATTAAATTGTGACTAAAATTTAGAAGTGCCAACCAAGCTGGTATGTAATTGTTTAATATTCATTGGCATAAAACAGGGAGAGCAACTTCTAGTGGTACAGGAGCTACAATTAAAGCCACATAAGACTTTCTGATAAAGATCCAGGCAGGGGTCAGACCTGCACCCTACTTTTCCATTTATTTTGGATTTGGGAGCAGCTTGCCTCAATAATCCATCTCTACCCTCAAAAGTGCCACAAATGTAAGTTGCAGAAAATTGCCCATTTTGCCATGAAGACTCACAATGAAATCTGTAAAGAGCTGTAAAGAGGACTCAGGGTTCCCACCCCAACTTAAAATCTTGAAGGAAGGTTCCTTTATTATGCTATTATGTAACTCTTATGTACAGTATCTTTGTAACAAGAAAAAAAGGAGTTGGGACAGTCCCAAAGGAAACAGCTCCTTTCCACCTTTCCTACAGTCCTGGATCAAAGCATAATTTTAAAAAGTGCCTGTCAAGGAAATGCTGATCCAGCCCATGTTCAGAACACATGCCCCAGGCCAAAGAAAAAAGTGTCCAGTTGCTCTGATTTATTTTGAAGTCCATGAAAGCATGAGAAAAATCCATTCTGGAGAAAGAAATTTTTGACTTCACATCTGCTTTGTATTTAACATGACAATTAATGTTCCACACATCAGTTAACACAAGTTCCAAACAATCTTCTGATGGATCAGCAAAGCAGTGATTTGGAAGAGTACCTACTGCCTTAACTAACAGCTGGGTTGCTACTAGGCAAGTGAACTGGGTTATTTATTTACTAAGGGTATGGCAAAATAGCAACAAAAAGAAAAATGGAGCTCCTCTTCTCTTACTCAGTTTTTTTTAAAGAAAAGTGTTTGGTGTTTAAGGGTTCTGGGAATGACTGCCTCTATTCATTCCTCACATACTGAACAGTACCACTTGAATGTGGGTATAATATAATCATATGACCATGGAAGCACATTAGAAGTGTATATGATCTTGCATACCAGAAAATAAAAGTATAATAAAGCAAAGCTTAAAACAAGAATGACACATTTGTCTCATGATACTTGTCATCATGATTAAAGGATTAAAATATAACTTTTTGTCCTAAACCACTCCCTGTGTGTGTCTGTGTGTGTATTTAGCATGAATCAGTCCACTGCAGGATGAAAGCATGAAGGTTGTTCACTGAAGGTTATGGAGCGTAGTCTTCCATGCTGGTCCAGTGGCTGGTTGAGAGCAGTTGTTTTTTGACTTTCCAGTCCAAGACTGAGAGAGAATGAATGGCCACGTATCCCACCTCCATGCCTAAGGAAGACTAAAATGCATGGTTGCTCAGCACCTTCACACCACACAGGCTCTCCCATTCTCATATAGAATCTCACTAGTTTCCCCAATGGGGCACCTAGATACAATTTCAATCTACTGTGGCAGCTTCTTTTTTTACTGGTCTGCAGTTACCCACAATTTCAATACAAGGTTCCACAAGAGAATTAAAAAAAAATTCCACAGCCATGTTTTATAGCTCATCGTTTCATTCAATGGTTTAGCAAAAACAAAAACACATGACAAATCATTACAGTTCCAGGAAAAATGGCAAACCACCCTCATACATGCTTGTAGGACAAAAAAAATATAATCATTCCCCAAGTGATTTAGCACAGGTTTAAGAAAGGAAGCAAAAATGAAGCTGTCACTTATGCACTATTATATAATGCTTGACAGACTGCGTATGAAGGACAATGATGGTCAGTTCAAAAAGTATGTCAATTTAATCCTAGTTTTATAGCTTGATATAAAAAGAGTTGAGACATAGTTTCCTATGACCTCTGAACTGGGGAACTGTGGCTTAAGATGCAAAGCAATTTCCTCTGAAGTTGGATACACACCAGGGAAAAGGAGGGACAATAAACAAGTGACCAGGCTTGCTCATGTTCTAATAAGCTACATTTTACTGAACTGAAATCACAAAGCCAGGTTGCTGTCTTCTGGACACATACCATAAAACTAGGAGCACTATAAGCCCTGTCATAGTGCAAGGCACGTCTGGGATTACTGCTTCAAGACTAATTTGGGGACTCTATCAATCAACTGTCAACAAACTCTGCTTCTGCTATGTCTATGCACACAATCCATTAATTGGAATTAGGCCGCCATTAATTTAGTTTTATCACTATGTCCAGTCTGCTCAAGCATCCTGATGGACCACATGAGTGTCTGATGCAGAATTGTAGCTTTTCTTAAAGCAAACAACATCCTAATTTAGGTTGGCAACCATCCTGGGAGGTAGAGCAGGGAGTATGCCATAATATAAATCAGAGCTCCAAAGGCAATCTGAAATAAAACTGATTTTTATTAATGGATCAAGTATAATGCTGGGAATTAACATTTTTAGATTCTACTTAAAAACGGTAAAGCTACAGGTCTCTCTTTAGAATTTATTTCTTTTCTTAACCCAGTATCCAGTTTATTTAAATAATTTTCACATAACTCATTTAAAATGAAAAACATCTCAAATAATCTGATACTACCAGGAAACACATAACTAGGTTTCCATTTAATAAAATGAAAGCCCTTTTCTCAATCTCTCAGCCTTAGGTTAAATTCAGCCTGTATAAGCTTCCTGGCCTATGTCTACTGACTAGGAAGACAACCTAGTTTATGGAAGAGCACATTACACTCTTACTGCAATGTGAGATTGCAGCTTGCAGAGATTTGTCATTTTGCTAGGGGGACTGGAAAGGTTACGGAGAGTCTGGCTTTGTTCTTCAGACTTGTCCACTTGTAATTTGAGGACATTATTTCCTGTAGCTAAAATAGTTCCCCCATCTTTCCCTCCAAGACACAGAGAATGCATCCATTTTGGCATCCATTTCAAAATGTGCAGACCTTTTTATAAGAGACTGGTTGCTGCCCTGGAAACAAACACGCAGGCACTTTGTCACCATGGAGTGATCACAAGCTTTTCAATAAGCATTATAAAATTCTTGCTGTATGAGCCTATTCTTGGACAGTGAATTCCTGTAGGATTTCATTCCAAATTCTACATCAGTTCAACATAATCCCAAATAAGTCATTCCAATACTTTGTTGCTGATTTTTAACATGGTCTTTTCTCTCTTCCTTGGGAGCTGGGTTCTTTAAGTAAACAGCAGACAGCCCTGGATATTTAGTTCCTCATTTCTTTTTTTGCCTCCGAATCCTCTTTAACAGGAGTGTCAAGTGAAGCCCCATGTAGGTAGTTTTCATAAACTCATGACTTTCTCCTAACTGGTACTAGTAAGAAAAATCATTCACATATGTATGTATATGAGCACCTTTATGTACACAGATCTTTATCTCAAACAAGTTCTGAAAAAGTCAGAACAAGAACAAATTTTCAATCCAGAATTTGCTAAAAATAGACTTGTCATTATCAACTGAGAGATAAAGACCTTCAAGTGTTTCCCCAGAATGGATGCACAATTCCTAGGGTGCCCAGATATCCATCACAACAACAAGGTTTAGTCTGTTAAAGTACTAGGGTTGTAGTCTGCAGAGAGCTTCACACAACCCTCTTTCTATTACACATAATTGCAAAGTTCCATCACTGGACAGTCTGGCAGTTTTAATGAGCAAACAAGTGTAATAATATCACTGAACTACAAATAAGCAGCTCTGTGCTTATGACTGGTATCTACTACAAGCCAGTAGTTGTACATTACACATTGTTCACCTAACAGGAGACAACATGTTGTGGTAGCAAGATGGGTCTCTGCTGGTGTCCAGTTGCCAAAACTGGCAATGAAGCTGTATATGCGGAGCAGATGCAAGAAGGTCAAGTCCCCATCTATTTTAAGATGATGTGGTAACTGTCATTGGTTTCAGCTGCAAAAAAAGCACATCAACAGACTCTGGATGAACATGAGCAGAATCCCATTATTGTTCTTCACCCACCTTTCATGTAAAAGACAGAAGCTTATATATAGTACATTAATCTCCATGCATGCTGATTTGGATATTTTATGGTGCAAAAGAATAGGACTTGTAAGTTTTTCAGAAAAAATAAAGAATAGAATAACATGCATTACTGTTCACTGAATAAATGAGTACCTTTCATTGTGTCCAAGACAAAACATGATTCATCTTGAAAGTTCTGTATCATCTAAAACAGGAATAAAAAGTAAGAGCCTGGAGAGATCAAGCCACTATTCACTGTGCCTATCTTAAGCAACACACATATTAATGTACTTTGTCAACAGCCAATAGTGACATTACCTTCCCTTATAGATGAAGAATGAGGAAAGCCAAGTGTACACCCAGAGGTTCACATTGAACCTTTTGCAGGACAGCTTGGTTATCTCCAAGGCAAGAAACCTCTATTTCTTATTTCATCTCTGTATCAGTTCACATTTACCAATCACCTTAGTTTCCATTCTCCCAAGTTCAAGTTCTTTTAGAGATGATCTGGATTCTGCTAAATTGACACAGTTCATTTTCCTTTGGATTATTTAGAATTATGTCTAGGATGATTTAGGATTCCAATCCAGTTTGGCTTCTTATATCCAGCCTGCAATGAATTTCTTTCCTCTGATTCAGTTAAAGCACAAATAAAAACAGGGCTACAAAGCTACCGGTTCTTAAATTCTAATCCTATTCTGAAGATACAGAAAGAACTGTCTCATGGTAAAACACTGGGGAAAAGTGGAAGCAAACACTGATTAGGCAAGGAAGCATGTTTCTTGGATCAAGAAATCAGCACTGTGTAAAATATTTATACTGCAGTGTTTTTTCTAGATACAAGGAACTTCAGAGCATGAAAACAATTGTTACTTTGTTTTTTTCTGGTGTTCAAGTCCTAAATATTGTCCACACTTCTTTCTTAACAAATAGTCAGTTAAGGAAAAAAGCTTTTATTGTATTGAGCAAGCAGTGACTCACAAAAGTTGTAATTCGCAAAATGTTGATCTCTGCACCCATGCCTAAATGTTGCATAATTCCTACATACCTAATTATCAATTAGCTAACATATGAAGATACATAATTTTAAAAGTTAATGTTTTGTGCACAGTCAATATTCTAGCCTAGTGGACTGCAGATTTTAATAAAAAGATAGTGTAGATCTTGCAAGCCTAGGTAGGAATGAGCATGAAAATTCAGTACATGCTTAATCCACACTTCCCGATGATAATGTTTGCATTATTCCAAATTCCCTTAAAAATTAGGGAAATATTAGTACAAAAATCCAACATATAAGAGAAAATACACAAAAAATGCATATTAATTTTTAATACAGATTTTTAAAAAGTGTAAATTTATGCAGAAGAAACTCTTGGATTCTTCTAAGAGAGAGAGATGGCTATATAGGAAGTCCTCACTTACCAACCACAATTGGGACTGGCTACTCCATTGCTAAGTGATGCGGTCATAAAGTGAAACATCACGTGACCATGCTTGACTTATAACATCAAGCACAACATCACACATCACAAATCTTGCTTACCATGTCAAGCACAACTTGTGATTTCCCCATTGCCCTGGCTTGTCAGAAACCAGCTGTGAAGGTCACAAATGGTGATCACGTGACTGCAGGACACTGACCATTGTAAATGCATGCCAGTTGCCAAACGCCTGAATTGCAATCACATGACTGCAGAGACGCTGCAATGGCCGCAAGTTCAAGGACCAGTCATACATCTCCTTTTTCATCACCATCATAACTTTGAATGGTCACTGAATAAGCAGTTGGTAAGCAAAGATTACCTGTATATGTTTTATCTTTTGAAAAGCACATGCTCTAATATGGTCAGTTTTATTTTTCAGTCTAACTTGATCAGATGGGTTAAGATTCAGGTACTATTTTCCTCCTTAAGTCTCAGGAGAATCAACAGACAAATGAACAGTAGACTCAAAATCAAGTAACTGAAATCCTAACCATTTCAAGAGGGACTGTGTTACAGTACATGCAATTCCATTCAGGGGTTGAGTCCATGCATTCTACTAATACCATAGTTTGCTTAACAAAACCATATTTGTGATAATACAACATGCTGAGCCAGAGACAGTCAATGAAGTTCCTGTGGACACCAATGCTACCTCAGACATCTCCTTTGATGCCCACCAGGCTCCTCAGTCTACTTGACTTGTTTCTAAGAGATTTGTGTTTTAAAAAATTAAGTGGGAAGCTGGCATGCTGCATTCCTTCTCAGGACCATATGACTCTGACTCCGCTGTCATTTAGAGAGGCCTTAAAAACCTGGGCCTTCCTACAGGCATTGCAAATGGTGATTTGTGAATTTGCTGTAATATTATACATTTTGAGTTTTGTCTTCCCTGGTCTGGCTGTTTCATTATCTTGATTTTTTTAAATCCTCTTTGTAAGCTATCTTGCATTGCTTACAGGGCAGCCCTAGAAATTGGAATGAATGAATGAATGAATGAATGAATGAATGAATGAATGAATGAATGAATGAATGACTCTAGTTTTGAATATCATATCTGTTCACAGCAATGCCTTTAGATCTCACAAAAGTCTTATTGGGATGATAGAGAGGATCCTGGTGGACTAGCTTGCCTTCTATTAAATAAGTGTTTGTGAATGGCTATCATGTGAGTTGTTTTGTGAATAGAAAAGTCTCTCATGGCATTAATTTTGTTAAGTGTGCCCATCACGTGATGTTGAGATTCCAAATGATTACAAACTACACTGTGGCTTACTGCAATTTATAATCTGGCAGATGAAGAAATATTCCATTTCTTTTAGATAAGAAATCAGAGTGAGCCTGCAACATTATTAAATTCCCAAACTTCTCATAAATATCTTCAGACTATCACAGTACTCTTACCTCATCACTGATGAGTACATGAATCCCTGTAGGCCCTTGTTTGTAGATCTGGCTGATTTGTTGAGAGGAAATGCTGAAGAGTTGGGCTATTTTTTCTGTCAGCTCTACAGCAGTCAATTCTTCTAAGTAGATTGCATGGTAAACTACAGAGGCAATAAGAATGAACAAGGGGTAGTTCCAAGTTGACCTTAACTAGGATGGAGAGAGAAAGTACTTAAAAAAAGCAAACAGCAGTACTATATTCCTTTAGTCATTAAGTTCATTTTCCTCATATTCTACAGTAACCCACAACAAATTTTGCTATAATCTTATTTGGATTATTATTCAAAATAAATGTACACATTCCCTGACAAATAAATGACTATTTGAACACCTCTTATCACTTCCAACAGGCATTGTAATCTCCACGATAACAGAAAATACAAAATTGTCATGAGATCTACATATAGCCTAATAAGCAGTGATAATTTAAAGGCTGTAGCTCATATTAGGATTAACTGGATGAATGGAAGTGGGAAATTTTGGGAGCAACAAAATCAAGGATTAACTACAACTGTAATTACAACTCTGGCCACTGCTATATCTTATGCCATCACTCCCATCACCACAGGTCTAACATCTTCTTGAAGAGATCATCCCATTATAAGATACTATAGTTCCCTCTGCCACATAGGATGCAGACTCTTCCTTCCCAATGCCCTTACCGAAAAAAGTTCCATTGGCTGCATCCCCATCTTCATGCTTCTGCTGATCTCTCAACTGCTGTGACTCTTGACAAACATAGATGGTCAACCTTGGCCGTACCATCCTATGGAGAAAAGAAGACATGAACTCTCCAAGGTAGCAGGAATAAGAGTAATGTCAGGTAGTAAATGAAAGGGGAAAGGAATCTGATACATCAACACTTGACTATTTATTTAGCTTCATTTGTACCTCATCTTTCGCAAAAACATTTCAGAGCAAGTAATATTGTTAGTTAACCACCAAAAATTTACTAAGACATCATTAAAAATCATTAAAACCAATAGCAACAAAGGAAACAACATGAACACATTCCTCACAGTCAATCATTCATAAATGCCCAGTGAAATATCAATAAGGTTGGTACCAGGCACAACGGAGATACAACTGCTGTAACAGCAATTTGCAGGTCACAAGATTCATCACAATTTGGCTAGTTTGTACATTCCAGAAACAAGATACAAGACTCTTCCTAGGGTTATTTTGTGTTCAGGATGCTGATAAGAGGACTGCTTATGCATTTACATGAAAAAAGATGGTTTAGGCAAAATCCACAGATAATTTTCTACTATATTCCCCTGCCTACTCTCTCACCCTTCGTTTGTAGAATTTATCAAGAGAAAGTGTTCAAAGTTCATGGGAAGCCAGAAAGATAAACATTAATCTGTTTTAATGTATCACATATGAGCAGATACACACAGACATTAATGGCTTAGAAGATCATTAAATGATTAAATGCTCATAATTTCTTTGCTTACCAGCAAGACTAAAGCTGGACTTATACTTTGTACTTAAACAAGTTATTTTTCACTATGGCTCACTAAACAAACCATAATAGCTAGGTTCCCACATTACACTAAGCCAAAACCATAGAAACCACATTATGGCTTAGTTCAATCTGTAAGTCTAGCCATTTTTTTGTTCAATAAACTAGGATGTACATAAATCTTGATTTAGTCGTACATGCATATGAAGTCATGTAGTCATTCAACAGATTCAGATCAAGCTGAGCATTTTGATTTATTGTGAGAGAGCTATATCCAAAGAAGGCCTGAATGGATCATGACTTCCTCCCTCCTATGAACATTCCATGTTTGAGAGCCTTTTTTATTCTATATAAAAACATTTACCATGGTGGTGAGGTCCATGGAAGAACTCTCAACACTACCATTTGTCTTATAATAGCTCCAAGCACACCAGAATGTAAGCAGTGGGACTATGCATATCAAAACTGGGTGGCTATGATGGCAAAATCCATTTTCCCCATTCTGCATCATCTTAGAATCACATGTTTGCAGCAGAGTAGCATCATTTTTTCCACTCTGTTGAAACCCAACTGAGCTGCAGCATTTACTAGCATATTCTACTAAATCCAGTGAAGAGAAATAGAAGTAACGGGGAGGGGGAGGAAAAAAACCCCAAGAAATGCAAAGAAAGAAGCAGGAATGCTGAGCTGAGATGTAGAAAGACTGGTAGCTGTCATACAGTACTTCTGTTGAGTGGAAAGAAAAAGAAGGGGAAATATTGTATATAGATGAAACAGAAAGGGAGAAGAAATGGGAGTGCAAATCTTCACCAGTGGACAGGAAATAACATACATATTGTGAACTGAAAGAAAATAAAGGCATTAGAGACATACTATGGAGCACAAAAAAAAAAAAGTGAGTTAACAAGGTACAAAACACTTTTACAAAGTAAAAAGGTTTGCAAAAATTCCTGTATGCTCTTAACACAGTGAGGCAAACTCTTGTATTAAGTACTGTATAAAACTGGCCCTCAAGAGTGATTTAAACTGTTTTGGAGTTGCTGTTAATAAGATGGTCCTTAGCTGAATTTGTACATTGGAGTATTTCAGTACAGGTAGTCCTCATTTAATGACCACTCATTCAGTGACCATTTGAAGTTACGATGGTGCTGAATGAGACTTACAATTGCTCCTCGTAGTTGCAGCTCTTGTGGTGTCCCTGCAGTCACATGATTGCTATTTGTACCCTTCACTGCTGGCTTTCGACAAGCAGAGTCACAAATTATGATCGTGTGATGTCATGTCTAACAACTACGCAGGATTTGCTCACCAATGGCAGCTGGAACTGCCGCAACTGCTGCAGTTAGGTTGGCGTGGCCACATGACGTTGTACTTTACAACCACGTTGCTTAATGATGGAGTTGCCAGTCCCAATTACTGTCCTTAAGTGAGGACTACCTGTATGTATTATTCATGTTGCTCAGGCACAAACACTGGTGGGGGGGGGGGAAAAACCCAGAAATATCTGCAATCTCCAATTTGCATTCTGAAGTCAGTACAATCCTGGAAGGTCTGTGTCATAAATTTTTGACAGATGAGAAAAGATTTAACTCTGATTCAGTTTCTGTAAAGTAGGCACCTACAACTGTTTCCTTTTTTAGAATTTGCCTGACAAGCTTTTGTTTGCATGCCAAAGTAGAACACTAATTTCCATTTCACAAGTGAGAAAAAAGAAGCACACACAGAGGAGCAGATGAGGGAACACTATATCCACATTATATTAGTCCAATGGCCAGAAGCTCCTTCAAGTATCCAGCAGCATTTGTCCTTTCTTATTTATCCAGGTCTATTCAAATGATATGCAATTCAACCTAAGTTAGCAAAGTGTTTGCTCTACCACTGAATCCATGAACCTTTCCCAAGCAGAATACAAGTGTGCAGGCTGTCTGAGGAACAGGTGGCAGCCATGGCCAGGAGGGCCTTTGCACATCTTATTGTATGCAACTGCGCCCATTCCTGGATGAGGAGGTTCTACTCACAGCCACTCATACATTGGTGACCTCCCAAATGGACTTCTGCAATATAATGGGGCTGCCCTTGAAGAGCATCCAGAAGATATAGCTGGTAGAGCATGCAGTGGTGCAGGACCCCGATCTAGGAAAGAGCGCAACTGGTACACCATATGAAGCTGTAAAAAGGCCTTCCTGGCCACAGCTGCCACCTACTCACAGAGCAGGAGATGTAAGTCCAGGAAGACCCCCAAGTATCTCACATAGGAGGGGCCTAGGGAGTGATCTCTCACCACCAACCAACACTGACTGGAACCAGCCCTGGAGAAAGGAAGAGAACTATGTTACAATGTCGCCCCCAATTCCCAGTCCAGGGACTGGCTCAGAAGGATACTATGGTCAACAGTATTGAAGCTGCTGAGAAATCAAAGAGCACAAGGATGGATGCACCACCATCATTCTGGCTCCACCACAGGTCATCTACAAGTGTGACCAGTTCTGTCCCAGTACTAAATCCCAGCCTGAAACCTGACTGAAAAAGGACTAGATAATCCATTTCCTCCAGGATTCTCATCAACTGTAGACCGACCATCTTCTCAACAATCATCCCCAGAAAGGGAAGGTTGGAGACTGGCTGATAGTTATCAAAGATCATTGGGTCCAAAGACAGCCTCTTGAGGAGGGAGTACAACACCGCCTCTTTCAAGGCTGGGGGCACCACCCTTCCGTCAAAAAGGCCAACACTATAGCATGGACCCAACTGCTTTCACAACCCAGGAGGGACCCAGATCCAGTAAATAGGTGGCCACGCTGACAGCACAGAGAGCCCTGTCCACTTTCTCAGGAATCACATGCTCAAACTCATCCTGTTATGTTTTATGGTGTTAAAAACACCATAAAGTCAAGAATCTGAGATAAGCGGCCATAAAAATTGAATGAATGAATGAATGAATGAATGAATGAATGAATGAATGAATGAATGAATGAATTCTCCATCTCTGTTCCAAAAGAAGCCTCAAGAAATCAATCCCCTCCTTTACTTTAAGCTTTTTGTTAATCTGCCTTTAGATGCTTTTGTGACCAACCGTGCACCAGTACCTATTTTTCTAAGTTATTTTTCTGTAACCTCCTTTGATTTATATTACAAAAACAAATATGTTAGCATCATGAAACATATACACAGAGTAGCACTCTGCAAGTCTGTTGCAAGATTTAAAGGAGGTTGTGATGCATGAGAAAAAACTGTGGCCAAAAGTCTCCAGGTTTTCTTGCTCACATTGGACTGCTTTGTAAGTCAGATTTATCTCCTCCATTTCTTAATCACAGCAGTAGGAAGCACCTACTTTTTCCACACCTTTTCTGGATCTTCCCCAAACTTCTACACTGCACTTGACTGTATCCTTCATCCTTATTTTCTTGTGTTTTCCCCATTTTCCCCTTGCATTTTTCCTCTCCTTCATGTGCTTTGCACACATTCCCTTAATAGCAATCACACTGAACATTCTGTAACAGAAGCAAGCAGTTCGTCAATCCAGTGAAAAGAGTACATGTGGGGGGAGGGAGCATCATCCTTGTGGTTCTCTTCTTTTCTGGAGCAGTCGTTGCATGAAACCAACAAAGCCTACAGCATTTTCCCCACCCCCACTTTAGCCAGTACTATCTGAACAATCAGAACTGGTACATTAACTTAGTGGTATGGTGTGGTATTAGGAAAACCTTTTGCCAGAAGCTGCTAAAATACATTTCAAAAACAACTGAAGGGAAATTAAGAAGCAAGCCCTTATTTAATGAAGAAGGCATCTATGCTCACACTTGCCTATACTTAGCCATCCAAAGGAAGGAAAAGAAAAAAACTATAGAACTCAATTATATAGTTTTACTCATGCATCACAACCTCCTTTAAATTGTAAGTGCCAAAAGAGGCATATATTTCTGTTTTTCTCTAATTTGCCTCATCCCATCTAACTGTATTGCAAGAGAGTTCTGTAATAACCAAGTTCTCTCCCATTTCACAGAGGCATTCATTTTTTAGGGGAGCCGCCCAGAATCATTAGACTGGAGCAATATATAAATATTGGTTATAAAGAAGCAAAGTGTCTCAGTCAAGTGCCAAAAAACGTTTAAAAGACCAGAACAATTGGAGAAAAAGAAATCTTTCCTTCAATACTGTCCAGCACACATAAAGCCTCAACTGCGTAAAGCTAGTTTGGCTGATACATACCGTCCTTTCAATGCATTGAAGAGTCTGATGCCATCTGCAGGACCACATATTTGTATGACATCTTCTCTGGTTAATTTCAGTAAGTCTGCCCCTAAGATTTTTTTTAAGTGAAAAGGAATAAGAAATAATTTTATTTATTGAAATTTATTGGCTTCCCAACTCCAGTGGACTTTGGGCAGCACATAAAACTAAAGAAGACATAAAAACAGCTAACGGTATTAAATCAACTGGCAGCCTGGACTAAAATGCTCTAATAACAAAATTCACAAAACAAAACAGGGGCCATTAAACAAATAAAACGTCAATCCCAGGCCTGGGACCAAAGCCAGGTTTTCAAAGTTTTCCAGAACCCCAGGAGAGAGGGCGCTGTCCTCATCTCTGGGAAGATGCTGTTCCAGAGGGTGGGGGCTGCAATAGAGAAGGCAGGCTTCCTAGGTCCCACAAGATGGCAATATTTAATGGAGGGGACCTGGAGTGCATCCACTGTGCTGAAATGTTTTGGGCGGGCAGAAATGATTGGAGACAAGCGGTTTCTCAGGAATCCAGGCCCTTTGCCATTCAGGGCTTTATAGGTAATAACCAGCACCTTGAATTGCACTCAGAAGCCAACTGGCAGGCAATGCAGCTCGCAAAGCAGTGGTGACCCATGGGCACACCATTACTGCTCGCACTGCTGCATTTTGAATCAGCTGTAGCTTTCAGGTGGTCTTCAAGGACTGCCCCACATAGAGTGCATTGCAATAATCTAATCGTGAGGTGACCAGGGCATGAGTGACTGTCTGAAGGGCCTCCTGATTGAAGAAAGGGCACAACTGGTGCACAAGATTTTAACAAGTATAGCATAACAAGTTCTGTTTCATCCAATCTTCTCCATTAATGGAGGGCAACTTACAGTCTATAGTACAAACCTCATTTTTGTTCCCCGTTTCCAACGACTGCTTATTTTTCTTGGTTCAATTATTCATTGCTTTTCCCCCCACCCAAAGGTCAAAATGCAGGCTTCTTAGTTTGCTTTTTTAAAAGCTCTGCCAATCTCTTCCCCCAGCCCCATGAAAAATTTGGCCCTGCCCACTCCAGCAACCTCCCTATTTCATCCCTTTGCCATGTACAGCACTTTACAAAATAACTACACCCCTGATCTACAAAAAGGATTCCTGCTCAGGTTCTAGACAGTGGAAGAGCCTAGTGCATTTGAATATTAAGTTAAAAGATGCATGACCTGCAACAGGGAGATTATTAGGCAGGTCATAAATGCTCTTTACTGCTGCTTTTTTGGCAAGGGGATGAAAGAGAAGAGGCCAAAGTCTTTTGCCTGTTTCAAAATGAAGAGAAGGGGCACCGTTTTTTTAAATCTGGGCAGAATAAGATGCAGGGGTTATAGGTTTCATTCAAGCCTTCTCCCTCCAATAATTTAAGTACTGTTGACTAACATCTGCTTAGAAGTTGTAGCTCATTTGTACTGTAATAACCAAAAGCAGATTGAGTTACAGAAAGATGCTCCTGTGTCATTTTGACAGGAAAGAAGTGGAATAATCCTCAAGGCAGAGAATTATTCAAATGCATTAGCTTGAAGACGTGTAGAAAGAAGGGAGACTGTTAAGAGAAGATGGCAGGGAAATCAAGGGATGCAAATTCTGAAAACCTCTCCTGATGTTACCAAAGAGAAAAAAGCCTTTGGTTCTACCTGAGAAGTTTGTGAAAAGCCGTGAGAAAGTTGAGAAGCGATTCCGGTGCAGCCACTGCTGAGCTTCCTGAGGTGTGGATGTTGGTAAGAGGTTCTATGGCAAAAAGAAATTCAATTGTTTCTCTACAAGAGGAACACAGATCAATTACAGAACTAGATAACTGTTAGACTTTTTATATTTTGAAACTGGGAAATCAACCATCATATGCAATTCTCTCCCAGCATCTCCAAATATAACCTGAAACTTGCAAAGCTCAGTCCAACTAAGTCTGCAGTGTCTTGCTATGTTTGAAGCCTAAGAGTAATGCAGATTTGCAACTTCTATTAGCCTGGGGGCTCTACTAGGCTTTGTACGGCAGGCTGAGGGTTGGACTCCAAAAGTGGATGGAGGCAAGACCTATTCTGGGAAGGGGGTTCAGGAGTTTAAAGAGGCAAAATTGGTGCCTTAAGCATCTGCACTATTTAAGGCATCTGTTTTCCTCTTAAGATTTCCCACATTCAAAAAAAGGTGCCACATTTTTGGCTCCACCCATGTAGGAATGGCTGTTGGGCTCCATGGGATCCTTAGGCTCTCCATTTTTTCCACCTTGACTTACAAGACTCACTGTGTATCGGTTGCAGTATTTTGCATTGGGAACAGATAACTCAGAGAAAAGAACACTTTGGTCAACTAGCTCAGACCATCCCATTCCCACCTGTAGTCAGCAGTGGGGTAGAGAAGAGTAAGAAGTGGGAAGGATGAATTAAAACGTACATCTGTAATTGGAGCTGGAGGTTCAGGTTGGTGGTTTGGAGACCCGTTCCTAGTTTTAGAAAAACAAAACAGAAAAGGCACCTGAATTTTGCTTTTCTCTCCTTGGCACCTTATTTAAATATTCCATATCCTGTCAAAAGATTGGCGGGGGTTTAACAGAATCATGGTTAAAAGAACAGCTAAAGAATTATGGACCGTACAGTTTTTCCACGGCCCTTCCTTTAAGCACCACTGAGGTTGAGGCTTTTATCAGAATTAATCTTAACAAGAACAGTTATTAAGATGGAAGGTAACGATAGCCTAAACAATCATTAAAGGTAATGCTAATGTCACATTTCATCCTGGCTTTTGTGTTTTAGCTTTGAAGTAGTTCTTGCAGACTATTTAGTCCAACTCCATGCTAGATGCATGAAATCTTAAACTGGAGCATCCCTGAATAGCCATTCAGTCTTGGCCCAAAAACCTCCAGCCAACGGTCAAAGGAAAGCTAGACTACTGCTCAAGAGCAGAAAGAAGGAGCAGAAAGAGCAGCAATTTTCCCTTCTTCTCTTTTTGTACAAAGCTCTTTTGTGTTTGCTGCTTCTGCTGCTGCGGCTTAAGATTAAGGCCTTCCTTCTCCTCTTCTAGCTGCTTTATATAAGTCAGGCTGCCTGAGAGACTGTTGGGGAAGAGAATTCTGTTTCAAAATTAGGAGCACGTTAGTTTCAGCAGCACCTCTATCCCTGCAAACTAATACACCTCCTCTCCACAAATAATTAGATTTTTTTAAAGTGAAAAATATCCATTTTCTTGAACATTCACTCTTTTTGTCCCAGATTTTTTTTTGGGGGGGGGTATACTATGCAAAGCCATGAGAAGATGACCAGGGCCTCAAATGATTGCTAACCCTTGAGCTACAGAAACTAATAAATAGAGAAGCCTGTGAAAAAATACATGGGCAAAAGGCAGATACTCACACTTACCCTTCACTGATAGAGAAACTGCTGTGAGAACTGCTAAAGCCAGGTGATGGCACATTGTTGACATATGTGATCTCAGGCCATGGAGAGCACTGGAAATAAAAATACCCTTGTGAGGCACTCAGGACATCCCACAATGTTTCTGTCTTCAATACCACTTCTGTTCTTCTCCCATATAGGCACAGATGTGGGCTTCCAGCACTGTGGTGTGTGTGTGTGTGTGTGTGTGAGAGAGATAGAGAGGGAGGGAGGGAGGGAGGGAGGGAGGGAGGAAGGAAGGAAGGGGGGGCATATTGCTTGGAAATAGCAGGAAATGTCTGGGGAAAACAGCTCAAAGGCAGATTAAGAGCAGGGCAGAGTTTCCAATGATGAATAGGAATGGATCATGCTTTCCCTGTCCCTTGCCTCTATGTCTTTTTGCTTTCCCAGTCCTTGATAAAGGAAAAACAACAGCACACCCAATTTATCTGAGAAAAACTGCACACTTATTTGAATTGTTATTGGTCATTGTAAGCTAGAGGCACAAGCCCTACGTAAAGCGTTCCTTTCTTAAATGCTACAGGAAACAAGGCTTATTTTGGGGTTAAAGGTAAAAGAACATTGACTTTCTACACTCCCTTGTCAAGTGAAACTAAGAAAAATAGTTCTTTTGTTTTTATAAAATTTGTATACTAGAATATTTGAAAAAGGATCTTTTTGCACCCAAGAAGTGATGAAGTATTGCTGAACGTGTTCACATTATTCTTATGCACAGGGTATGGGTTTTATCCAGATTGTGACTCAGGTTAGGGTCCTCCCACTTACTAGCTTTTGCTGTTTATGAAGACAACATTTGCACCAGTGATTTATGGCCTAGGAATGTGCTGCAGTGATGTACTAGCACAGTATGAATAGCTACCAGCAATCTTGCTTAAAAACAACATGGAGCACACAAAGACTGCATAGCCAAATTTAGGGATTCTTTTATTGTTGTTTAACATGCATCTACCATGCTAATAACAGGCCTGAGGAGATATTAATAGTCTGGGACAATAACTTTCTCAGTGTGAAAGAGCATACTCCTCAGCTGCTTATCTGTGTTGCAGCAACTAGTTGATCCTGAAATGTTAAACACAATCAGATTTGGTTAATACTTGGATGGGAGGCCACTAGGAAATCCCAGGGCTTTTGGCTAGACTAGAGAAGTCAAGAAAACATTCCAGAAGGTGGCAATGGTAGATTAATGTGTATTGTTGCTAAGAACACTACATGGATGCATCTGTAAAATCACTAGGAGACAAGCTTGATTCCTAGAGAGATTTTATCATTACTTTTTCGGTTACTGGCATTAGTTTACTTGCTGTATAACACTGGTGCTAAATAGTATCTGTCTACTATGGCCCCCAAATTCTAATTTAACCCAGCTTTCATCCTAAACTTTCCAAACAACCTATCTTCAAAATAAAAAGCTATGCTTGCTGAGTAAGATAGATGTTGTAATTCAACAGTGTCTAAGGGCATCAGATTGGGAAAGGCAGATTTATAACATTACCAGTATCTGATCCAAATTAGAACTCTGGTTATTAATACAGCACTGTGAGCATATGAACAACCACTTTCCTTGAGCCCCAGCCCAGTCTTTTAAGTGTTTTGTTCACAACAGTTCTTGGATTTCTTGACACACATTACTAGTTTTACCTCGGTAAGTATTGTTGTCTCATATGAAGGTTGATATTTTTCCTTCTCGTGAGGAGTTCGCTTTTCCATTTTCTCTCTGTCGGTCTTTTGTTTTCTATCTGCTCCTTTGGGCTGGAAATTAAGCATGTTTATTAACTAATGTATAAGATATTGGAAAAGAGCACTCTGCAAATGTTCTCAGCTGGTGAGGACATCACAGTGTCCATTTGTGATACACAAGCAGAAGTGTATTTGTATAAATACACTATGACACTTGGCAGTAATAAGGTGTTGTGATTTCTCTGCCATTAACCGCTGCATTTGAGAGGCAGTAAAAAATAAAGCTAAGCAATGCTCTCCCAGGTTTATTCAAGATTCTGCTTTCACATCACAATCAGTGCTGACAAAAGCTAGATTCATATCTTTGGACAAAACTTGATCTTGGCTTAGCCGTTTTGGTTTGTAAACCAAGGTTATAGCATACTACAAAGTGTAAATCCAGGGAAGGAGGTGTAAGTACCAGAGATAATTCTGTGTCTTTGCCATGGCAGAACTCTGCCCAAGTGCCTGTTAGTTATTCAAAAACTAGTCAGGAACTTTTCATCTAGAAGAGCCTAACAGGGCTGTTATGTATGTAGGTTTTACTGCAGAATTTGCTTTTCTATGTTTTTCCCCTCTGGCACTGAAAAAGGCTGTAAGTTCTCTCCTGAGACATTAAGGAAACAAGTACTGCAGTGGCACAGGTCTAAGAAAGGTGATTTATTTGTCTGTTAATATTAAAAAACTGAAACATTTCCCATAAATCTCCGTAAGGATATAACACTGTCCAGAAGAGATGGTGACATTCACTTCCCCTACTGGGTTTAAAAGTTCATTCTGAAAATTAATGCAAACATGAAAAACCAGTTCCACTGCCTCCCTGCACTTGCTGAAGTCCTGTAGATGTTTATCTGTGCAAGTATTATGGAATCTGTTTGATTAGTTATAACAGAAGTGCTCACCTTGTACAAGATTATGCACAAAAGCTTTTCTTACATCCCAAGAAGTATGGGTACTATCTGCAGGATCATTAGGTTAAACTAAAAGTGACCACAGAGGAACACACCCATTTGATTAACCAGGCCTGGCCTAGATACACACATACTAATGGGAATTTGTTTTTTTAGAGCAAAAGAATGTGAATCCTCTGCTCCCTGGGAATTTTCTCTTCAGCTAAATACTAATTTCTAATAGGAGAAAAGTCTTGGTAGTGGGTGGTGGAATAAAAGTGATGAAGAGATTGGAGGTGGGAGATCACTTACCACTTCATAAAACCTTTTGCTCTCAAAATTCTGCTTTGTGTGAAATGGCATCAGATTTACAGAAAATGTGACGTCCCCATTGTCTAATATAATTTAGCTCTCAAAACTCATGTTCTGAACTAGTTTAAAACCATCACCCTTCCCCATTTTACCATTTTTACAAAATTAAGAATGTCAAGTTTTATTGTAGGACATAATCCAATATTGTACACACATTTTAATTTAATTCAGCATTTTATCTCATTACATTTACATCTAAAAAACTACAAGTATTAGGGTCCTAGCTTCTCATTCATAAGCACTTATGCTGATTACTACTGATGAGAGAGACAGAGAGAGAAAGAAAGAAAAAAAGAGAAAGACAGAGAGAATGAATACCATCTAAATGTGTAGGAGGGATCAATAGTTTCAGTGACCATAAGAGTGATGCTGATGGGAATGGAAGCCGCTGATGGCTTCCTTTGATGATAAGGTTGAAAGGGCAAAGGTAAAGTGAAAGTATCCACAATGAGGGTAAGAGCAGGCATGAAGAAGGCACCATTTAGGAGAAGGAATTCCAAAATTAAAGCTGGAAGAAAATAATGGCAAACCCCTTCTGTATTGCTGCCAAGAAACTGTGTGGGCATAACTGAAACGTTAATAAATTTGGCTACCAAATGATGAGAGCACCACACTGAAAAACACTGCTCGAGTTATTGAGGAAGAACACTGAACTTTCTCAAGAAGACCTGGAATGGGATGATATGATCAAATCAGAACCACAAGGACATTGTGCCTTGTGCATTGTGACACTGTGCATCGCTGACAGTGCCATTATTGAAAGGGGAGTACTTTTTACAAGGACACATACGATAGGAACATGGAATGTTAAAACCATAAATCAAGGGAAAATTGAAACTGTCAAAGCAAGACTAAAGCATACTAAGAAAGATATTTTAGGAACCAAAATAGGCTACTTTGAATCAGTGACATGATACATGTTTCCAGGTATGAGACCTTTTGAACGAGCAGAGTCACAATGATACACAGAAAGGACATTGCTTGGCTATAATGCAATAAGTGAAAGGATCATATCAATTAGAATTAAAGGATATTCACTGAACATCAATGTTATAGAAGTATATGCCCCTATTACAAACCTAGGAGCGGAAGACACTGAAGAATTCTTTGGATTCTTGGAACTGGAAGAGCAAATTGGAAGAGGTGCTATATGTAACCTCTAGAAAGGATGCAGTACTATTAATGGATGTTCAGAATGCAAAAGTTGGAAAAATGGAAGAACTTGGAAATACAGGACAACCTGGATAGGATAAATGTAGTATTTTTATTAATATACATAAAAGGGTATAAGAAAAAAGAAAAAAAAAGAAATTAAAAAAACAGATTAAAAAATTAAATAGCAAAAGCATATTTCATATAAGAAATTATTCAGCCTAATTTTAAAACACATCATTAAATCTTAACCATACAGAATAATAAGAGTCTTTCCAATGCAATGTTAGAGAACTAATTCAAAAAGAACAAATGAGCACACTTTGACAATCTAATATTATGAAACTGGCATTGCGCCATCTTTCCAACATCAAACGGTAATTTAAGCAAAGTTACTCTTCAGTGTTGTAACTGTAGCAACAGTAACGTAAGTTAGTTCTGATTAAGATCTTACAACAAAGAATAGAGCCATATATAAAGAAAGAAATGCCAAATGAATAGGCAGGTTTAAGAAAAGGCAGGAGGATATGATATCAGATAGCTAACATAAAATGGACAATACAGCAAGCAGGAGAATTTAACAAAGTTTATCTTACTGACTAGAGCAAGGCCTTTGACTGTGTAAATCATGCCAGAATGGTGGAATATATTAAAGATAAAGGTGTGCCAGGACACCTGATTGAATGGCAATGAACAAGAAGCTACTGTAAGAACTGAATTTAGAAAAACAGAGTGGCTCAGAATAGGGAAGGGGCCAAGAAAAAGGATGCATATTGCTCACATATAGCAAATATATTATTATCAAAATAAAAAGTGAAAATGAAAAATTTGGACTAATAATAAATATTAAGAAGGCAAAGGTAATGTCAGTCAGCAAGTTTAGTGAACTCACAGCTGATAGCAAAGAAGGAAAGGCAGTTGTTTTGTTTCCTTGGCCTCAACAACTAAGATGGACAGTGTACTATAGAATAAAGAGATTAATCTCATGGAGGAAAGCGATGAAAAACTTTTAAAAAGATCTTGAAGGATAAGGATAGTTGTATGACAAGAAAGATCAGAATAGTTAAGGCAATGGTATTTCCAGTAGTAACGTATGCATGAGAATGATAGACATCAGAATGGGTGATAGAAAAAAGACAGACAGCTTCAAACCATGGATGTGGAGATGATCACTAAGAGGACCATGGACTACTTTCCTAGGCAAAATAAATAACTGCTCTCTTGAGGCAATGATCAGTAAACAGAAAGGTATATACTTTGGGCATGTGATGGTGAGTGGTGAACTAGAAAAAGAGACAAGCCTGAGGGCATCAGAAGGGGAAGGCAATTGATAAGGTGTATGCATATAGGTCAGTTAGCTGGTCTATCTGTCTAGCCAGCCAGCCATCTTTATTATTCACAGCAAAATTTTAATTTTGGGTCCCAAAGGCATGAGCATGAACATGTAGACCAGAAATGCTACGGTACTGTTTTGTCTTCTTATGAAATGATTTAATTCCTGCTAGCTTTTTTTAAACATAACCCTACTAAGAAAATCAGGATCTATACTCTCCAGCTCTTGTTCACACATTATATGTCCTAAAGTACACATATACCTTGAAGACTTTGATCTGGCAACTGGCAGAATGCAAATGCTCTGTGTATTCCCCATTTTCATTTTCCTTGAAGGTGTCAATCTGGACTCTGAATGGCACACCTTTCTCTCCACCATGCTTCCTCATAGTGAACTCTGTACTGATGCAATGCACCTGTAAAAGAGAGCCAAAAATATGCTCCAAATGGCAACAATGCTGCTCATACAATGTAGACATACACAGAAAGTTTAATTATTACTCTAAGTCAGTTCTAACAAACGCCAGTTAGCCTGAGAGTCTATCTGCCAAAGCAAACCAAGATTACAGGCACATAAAGAAGCCACAGAAAAAAAGGCATTTTCTGCAAAGTATTAACAGTTGTCTTCTCTCAATGAAGAAGGGTTTAAACCAAACTGGAAAAATACTAGACCTGACCAACATAAAAAATATTTAATACACCATATCTGACATCTAGACACAAACCGTATGTGTATGTACTCAAAGAGTACAGAGCAAAAATGATGAGAGCAGGGATCAGAGCCTGGGGTACATCAAAATATAAGATGTCACTTTTTTCTATTCTAAAACTTAAGTGTAGTGCAAGTTATTTCTTAGTAAATCATGCACTAGAAATCACATCCACCAGGTATATCTAATTTGAGGCTCAATGAAGAGGTGATGATCTCTTAAGGGGTCTGGAAGACCTCCGGCTGAGCACCTCCCTCTTCTTTACTCTGAGGTGGCACTCCTTTCCTCGGCCTTTTTGGCACAATTTGTATCAATGTTAGTGCCAAGCTAAATGCAAACCATGGTAAGCCATGGCTGGAATCTGGACAGAGCTCAATTTTCACTGGGAAGGGAAGAGAAATGGAGCAAAAAAAAGAAAGCAGCAGCCAATCCAAGGAGAAAGGAAGATAAAAGTTCTTTCATTGAGTGTCTTAGACATTGTGCTAAGCCATAACAAGGATTCTTAGTTTGTGGCTTAGTGGGATGGGTGCATTCACCATTGTGGCTAAAAAATGTGTGTGATTCAGATCATATCAATACGCCATGGTTTAAAATTTTGGCTCCGTATAGGTATGAGCTAAGTTAATATTTTAACTATGATAAAGAAATAAGGAAATGATATGCATACGTGAAATCCACAACACTGAAAACATTGTGTTAAAATCCAAGGAAAGTAGACTGTATTATTTTGTCCTTGCTCTGCTTAGAAGCGTTTAATCTTTTTTTTTTTACAAATAATAATTCTAATCAATATTTATAAAGCTTTATTTTGTAAAAAAAATTATGCCTTAAGTTAGATGGAGAATGAAACATTTTTTTTCCTGAGATAAGAATAGGTGAATAGTGTAAAATAAAAGAAGTACAAATTACTTAGGACACAGGAAGGCAATTTTTTTCTGATGTCTACACTTCACTTTTTATTTTTCCTTTAATTATTGCCCTTGAGAACCACAAGGGACCTATGATGAGGGGTTTAAAGGTGAAAAAAGAAAAGAAGCAGCAACAGCAAAAGGAACACTGCATAATTTCAGGAATGTAATCAAGGGAGTTGCTCTGGGGGCACATTATTAGGATTGGGGGTTGGCATGATAGATATTAACTTCTGATTTAGAAATAAATTCTCACAGATCCCCTATGAACTTGCAGGAAGCTTCAGCAATTCATAGCTTTGGCACTATGCTTCTAATAATTACCTACCTCAACTAGTTGATATGAAATCAAATGTATGT